GGGGTGTGAGGTAGGGTGGGGGTGGGGGCGGCTAGGAGGGGTCTGGGCTCGTGCTCGCCACGGGGAGGAAGCGGTGTTGGGGGCCCCGGCTCGCTCACCCCCGCAAGCTGCCGCTGCCGACCGGACCTCCATTGGACCCGCCAGCGTCCATCTCCGCCTCCTGGAGCAGGCCCGCCCGGCAGGTGTCTCCCGGGCCGGGACCGCGACCCACACAGCCGCTCACTGCCGCCTGCGCATGCGGACTCTCGCTCGCTCACTCATTCACTCGTTCATTCATTCACTCACCCACTCATTCATTCATTCACTCACCCACTCTCTCATTCACTCACCCAACTATCTAGCCAGCCAGCCACTAATTCATTCATTCACTCACTCATCTATTCATCCACTCATCCAAGTCATTCATCACTCATCCACTCATTCATTCATTCACTCATTCACACACTCACTCATTTTTTCATTCATTCACTCATTTGCTCATTCATTCACTCATCCCCAAATGGGGCTCTGCAGTCTGACAAACCTGAATTTGAATCCAGGCCGGCTACCCCCCCCACCCCACTCCCGCATTTACTACCTGTGTGAGTCGCCAAGATACTTACTCGCTTTGGACTTCACCGTTCTCATCTGCGAAATGGGTTTCACCACACAGGGTTGTTGGGAAGCTAACTAAGTGCTCAACAAGGTGACTTAGGGACCCACGGACCAAACTGGGCGGTCCAGGATGCAGTGGGAGTGCCCTAATACTTCAGGGTGGGGCAGAGGAGGTGGAGGAGGGGCATCCAAAGACTGGGGTAGGGAGGGACCACTCGCGGTTCCAGAAGGAGGGGGTGGTTCGCTGTGTGGAGGTGGCTGCAGATTCACCAAGGGGAGGAGCCAGCAGAGGGGAGAGCTGGGGACTGCAGGACAGAGACGGGTGAGTGGAGAGACAAGGTCTTCCAGAGACAGAATCTAAGAGCAATGACCCTGCAGACAGGCAGCAGGGATCTGAGTCCAGCTAGGCCATTTTTACCCTCTGCGTGACCTTGAACTGGTCACTGCACCTCTCTGGGCCTCAATTTCCTCCACTGCCGAATGGGAGTGATAATAGGACACCATAATGGAGGCTTTCTCCCCCAACTCCCACGGCCACCCCTCTGCACTGCTGACATGGGGACCAGATACTTCTCTGGGGCGGGGCCGACCTGTGCACTGTAGGGTGTTCAGCAGTATCCCTGGCCTCCACCCACTCGATGCCAGTAGTACCCCCACCCCAATGGTGACATCCAAAATGCACCCTGATGTCACCAAGTACCCCTGGGGGACAGAAACACCCTAGGTGAGGACCCCTGGGTTAGGGAATTCCACTGACCCCCAAGAGACTCTGCGTCCCATAATCATCCGACCTACTGATGTCCTAGGATGCTGCCCACATTTAAATCCACACACTGCGTGGGAAGGAGAGAGGAGGGAAATCACAGGAGCTGGAGGGCCCCCCCGGTTTACACCGTCTGACCCAGCGGGAGTTTATTCTGCTGTATTTTGTGAGGTAGGGATCAAACTCAATTTTTTCTAAATAATTAGCACAGGGTTTCTCAACCTTTACATTGCTGACATGGGGCGGGATCCTTTTCTGGGGTGGGGCTGTCCTGTACACTGTAGGGTGTTGAGCAGCATCCCTGGCCTCCACCCACTGGAGGCCAGTTGCACCCCCCAGTCATGACAACCAAAAACCTCGTCAAATGTTCCCTGGGCAGAATCGCCCTAGTTGGGAATCGCTGGTTTGGGGCTGGGTGAGGATTCACAGTGAACAGCATTGATGTTGCCTGGGATTATTTTTGGATGCCTTTGAACCACATGGGGGAGGGGGCCGGGCAGGTAAATGAAGAGTTGGGTCACAAGCAATTGGGGGAGTTCCTGAGGTCTCCTCCCTCCTCGAGTTCTCAGGGAGGCGGGATGATCCTCTCCAGCTAGTCCAGAGAGGAGATTGAAACAAATCTCTCAGCTCAGGCCTCAAATTTCCAACTGTCCCCTCCACCCGTCCTCCTGGATGCTGTTCAAGTTAGACTGAGCACTGAGCAGAGACCATGCCCTTGCCAGGGGCACCTGGTCCTCCCAGGGGCTCAGGCCACATCCAGGCGTCATCCTCGACTTCCCTCTGTCTCCGCCCCCCACCCACCAATGTCCAGAGCCCACCCCTCTCACGCCTTCTGCGGTTATATCCCTGTCCACCCTATCACCCCACACTCGCCTGTTGGAAACTTCCTCCCCGGTTTCCCTGCTTCTGCCTTCGTCCCCTTTTCTTCCTTCGCCACCAGCAGACAGACCAAAAACAATCAAACCCATGGCCGTGGAGTTGATTCCGACTCACAGCGACCCTATAGGACAGAGTAGAACTGCCCTGTAGGGTTTCCAAGGCTGTAAATCCGTACGGAAGCAGACTGCCACATCTTTCTCCTGAGTTCATGTTCAGTGTCCATAAATAAAGTTTTATTGGCACACAATCACAGCCCATTCATTTACAGATCATCTGAGACTGCTTTCTGCTTCAGTGGGCAGAGGTGAGTAGTTGCAACAGAGACCTTCTGGCCTGCAAAGCTAAAAATATTTACTGTCTGGCCCTTTACAGAGAAAGTTTGCTGACCCCAGCTGTACAGGATCCCCCTCTGCTGACTCCCTGAGCTCATCTCAACCCACGTTTCCCCCGGGCCACCCCTTTCTGCCATGGTCCCCTTTCCATTTCTCCAGGCCTTTGCCTTCCCGTCTGCCTGGAGTGCCCTTCCCCCACTGCCCACATGAAACCCCAAAACCAGTTGCCCTCAAATCTATTCCAACTCATGGTAACTCCATGTGTGTCGGAGTAGAACTGAGCTCCATAGGGTTTTCAATGGCTGGTTTTTTGGAAGTAGATCACCAGACCTTTCTTCTGAGGCACCTCTGGCCAACCTTTCAATTTATAGCTTAGCCTCCAATTGTTTGCACCACCCAGGGACCACCCCCCGCCCACATTTCTTTACTATTGTCTCCGCTTAAAAGATGCCTCTTCACTGCGCTCTTAATGGGGTTTGTTTTACCTTCATTGCCCTTTTCACTCCTTGACGGCATACTTCTTTTATATTTATTT